TATATGTTAGGCCCGAAGACCGAAAACGCTCAGTGGCCGGAAAAAACGGCCACATCGCGTTCTGGCTGCCTTCGAACGCACAGAACGCGTTTTGGCTGTTTTTAAACGCTTGCAACGCGTTCTGGCAACTGTTAAACAGCCGGAACGCGTTTTGTCAATTGTTGAACGCTCACAACGCATTCTTAATGTTCGACTTGTATTATTTGCCGCTTTCCACCTGCGTACAATGATTTATATTGTACTTATAAAACAAATGAATTTCAATCCGTTTTTCAGTTTTTAGGAAACAATTCAATTATTGACAACTATAACTGGATACCAAAGATGGGTTCGGTTTTTCTCGCCGAATCATTTCAACAATATTAAATTTCTTATAATTGTTTTTCAGTTCTAGGAAGAAAGCTACACTGAACACTTAGTATTTTGAGTATATAATAACTAACTTGACTTCATGAAAAATCAGTACAGTTCTCGTGAGTGTAGCGAGAAGATCAGTCTGTCATTGACTAAACAACTGACATTGCACCCGTGCGAAGCTGGGGCGGGTCGCTAGTTCTTTATAATTTAGAAAATCCGTATTTTCTAATTTAGAAAATGAATCGCGAAGCGCAAAGTAAGAAGATATTCTAAAAAAAGAATTCAATTAAGTTTATTATAGTCGGTCAACCTACCTATAGATGTTGATAGAGCGTAGGTACCTACATCGAATTACGACGAAAGCCTAGCAAGTGTCTATCTCTAAAAAAAGAATCTGTATTAAATTGTATTTCCACCAGCTAATACTAATGCTATCCTGTGGTGCAAAATAGTGGTTAAGTGGTGAGGGTGGAAGTCCCTTACCATTTTCGATTTATACTGTGTTTATTATAAAAAACCGTATAAAAATGATTTTATACAAGTAGTTTTATACACCTAATGATTTGGAAACTAAAATTTTAAAGGAGCTGTAAGGTATACCTCAATTTGAAACCCAGTTGAATCAAAAAAAAACGGACGGAAAGACACATGAGTGAACTTATAAAGGTTCTGTTTCTCATTCGGACGTACGAAATCCTAACCCGAGAACCAACTTAACATTGTAGTCGAAAAAGAACATGTTTTCCCATACATTCAAACTACAAATGTAAAATTTTACGAAATTTTGCAACGTTGGCATTAATCACATATTGTGTCAATACTTATCATTTTATCGTAATTAAAAAACTTGGAAATTGCACGGTACACTATAGGAACTACGATAAATTTTCTCTGATCGGCGCCATGTTTTTAGGCTCCTCCCATTTGACGGATCCCAAAATTTAAGAACCTTACAACAAGCCACTTTATTTAATATATCACACAGTACAGTTTGCAAAAATTTGTTTTTTAATTTCCTATTGGCCCCCGAAAAATAACCCCCATGTTCAAAATTTATTTATTTACGTAATACGTCCGTGTTTGAGTCACAGAAATTCATATGTGTACTAAATTTTAACTTAGTCATCAGTCCAGTAGATTCAGAGCAAATTGACTGTGACAGACGAACAGACAGACACACGAGTAATCTTATAAGGGTTCGGTTTTTCATTCGAACGTACAGATCCCTAAAAACGACATCCCGGTATAGATTGCAAAACTTCTTTGAAGCAGGTAACCCTTCTCCAACGCAGTTATAAACACATTCCATCGGTAAAACTTTTTTCAGGCAGCCATTTGGACAGCATTCCGGGTAATATTTAAAAAAAAAAATGATAAAAGTTTCAATAAATGGCGAACAATTTCGTAATCCGGGAGTGTAATTTTATAGAAGTTTTCGGGTGTGGGCACCGTCGAATTTAAACGTATTCGCATCAAAAACCGAAAACATTATCGAAGGCTGTGGATTCAAACTGATTAGGTAAACTTTTCGGCAGTCGAAGGACGAACGGCTTTAGTCCTGAGCCACCACTACACATAGCGGATATGAAAACTGCCACCAAAATAGAACAACCGTACAAATAAATAAAATGGGAATGAAACTTAGATGCTCAGTGTTTTTTGCCTAAAACGGCGATTGTTATAATCATAAATACTCAATAAAACTATTATTTGCATGATACAGAGGTATGTGTAAAAAAAATATACGTATCATAGTAGTATCTGTTTTTCGTTCAAAGTGAAGAAAGTAGAGAGGGGTGTGCCCAGGCCCGGCAGATCATGTTCGGCCCGAGTAGGTAGTTGACTTAACGCAATCGGGAGAAATGGGGATGAAATAGGATAAAACAAAATAATCTTGTTGAAACTATTATTCTATTACATAACGATAACAATATCAATTACACAAAGCCCGCTCAATTGCCCAATGCAAAAACTACGCTATGCTTTGCATTTCGTAAGATGAATGTATTGACTAGTTACTCTAGATCTAATTTAATATTTTTATTTTTTAACATAAATATGTTTATAATCTACGAAGAACAGAAAAACTGCAGGATGGGCCTGGAATTGTGATGAGCAAACAAATAAATCTAACGTATTCTGGTATAAACCCCCTACTCCATACTTTTTTAAAAAATCCACAACTTCCTTTAGGTTATTTGCTTGCTCATTTTACCTCTTTGAATCTACTTTTCAGAGATGAAATCAGTTGGTCAAACATATCAAAGAAGGATTTTCTAAAAAAATCATTCGGAGCCCTAAATTCATCCGTATTAACTACCCCTCGTTCTTCAGATTGAAACGTTTCTGAACTTCTGAAATTGACGCGGAATTTGAGGTTCGTTTAGTTGAAGGTCAGAAACAATTTGAACACTTTTTTCTTCTATATTTTCTGAAATTTATTATTACGAGAAACATTTAAAACGTCAGATAATTTAACCACACAAAGATCGGGATAATTAGACCGAATGTCCTTTCTTAGGGTTCGAACTTCAGCTTTTTCAATTTTTCGTGTGAGTACAATTACCCACCGGACCCACATTATTTGCCACACCTGACTGTGCCGTATTTTCTTCAATAGACCGATACGCGTTTTTTTTTTATCATATTGCAACCCAAAGCACTATGGTTTTTCATGATTTCAAGGACGAAAGGACAACGTAATCTCTCATGTAGGACATTGCATTTAGTTTATTGTTTACCTTTCGGATAGAAATTACAAGGGGTATTGTAAAATCCTTGTAAGAGTAAATGCGACTTCTAATCCGAAACGAATATTCCCTTTTTGACCGTAAAGTCAGGGCAAAATATCATACCTGCTTGCGGTATGGCGAAAAACGTTTTCCTAATATATTTCTTTAAAAATACTAGCTACTTTGCTTGCGTTTCGTCCACGAAAGCTGATTAATATGTCGGTATTGGAGTACATTGCTTTTATGTCCTTCAAATTAGTCTTATTGCAAATTCTAAAATCAATTCTGCTTCTACTTCCACAAATCTTGTAAAATTCTTATTCAGATCAAATATTTTCCATTACAGTGTAAACCGCACCTATTCACTGATCTTCCAGTTTTATTTAACTACAGGCCTGACGTTTGAAACTGGCGGAAATTTTAAAATGGTATGGATGCGCGATGGCAAAAGTAGGCAGTTTTAATTATAACAGTTGCAGCCCTCTTTCTTCAGTATTCATATCAGTGGCATAGATTAAATATTTAAAAGCAAGTATCAGTTTACAAAATTAAATTGAAAAAATTATTCGGTTGATTTTCTTGTTGTTGATATTTAAGTTTATATAAAAAAGAAATATGTGTAATAATTTAGTTTAATGTGATTTATTTAAATGTTATGTTAGATAATGAGCAAGTAATAGACATACAAACAGAAAAACTAATTGTTGATGTCGGTCGATTAATTGTTGATGTTGTACTTGGTCTGAAAATGCTTCCTTTACAAAAGAACTTTTATTTAATGTAATTTAGGCAACAGATCCTTCAGGTTGGCCAGACCCTTATCTGTTTAAGATAAGGGTAAGTTTTAAGAATAATATTTCGAAACGTCAATTTGTCACCTACCCATACTATCTAAAAACTGTATATAACTCCACACTCTACACTTTTTTTCTAAAATTCTAAGTTTATTTTTAAATAGCAATTAGTAGTTATATTTGACTTCCGATAAAACAAAAGTAAACCTAAACCCTTTAGTGAGTATTCTGCATATATTTATGTATAAATATTATTTAAGTTAATTTTTGTTGTATTGTTACCCTTTCTATGATTTCCAATGAGCACAATTCATCAAAAATAAAGTACATAAAAATGCATAAATGGGAAAAACGTGACATACAAATCCCAACTCTACTCGTAATAGTCAGAACTTCTTCATTCTCTCTTCTTTCAAATTTACTTATAAGTACTGTTACGTTTTCTCCAAAAGTCAAACTCCATTAATTGAGGAGAGCGTACCCAATAACAGCATTGTCCAAATTTTTAAAATTCCAATCGAAGTAGTTTTCGAAATATTCTAATGGGTAGTCACCTTGAGACACCGTGTATATAGTTCTAAGTCTTGATCAGTTAACTACTTACAGCAGTCCTAAATTTTTTTTTAAATTGGTTGTATTGAATTATTGTTTACAAACTGATAACAAAACTGAACTGTACATGTACATACTTAGGTAATAACTAATGTATAACTTATGTGGGTACTTTGAATTCTATTTTAAAAAATTAACCTCACTGACAAATTATATGTTGGGAGTTGTTCATGTTACGTATTAGGTACAATTCTGAGAAAGACCGTCTAAAAATTTGAAAGTAAAGTCGATGAAACTCAGAACTAATAAATATACACCCCTTTACAAAGTTCAGTTTTACTGCTACATCGTCAGCATTTCAAAAGTTTGTTCGTAAAAATGCACTTCATGAATTATTCAAAGGAAAGGAGAAAATATATACGCCAGGAAGCCCCGAAACGTAACTGATACGTTCACAAAAGCGCACACCCCTAACAAGAATTGTTCGCTCACTTTTTGGTATTTTCCTAAAATTGCTTCTTATTAAAACGAAGTTAAGGTAAGAACATAGGTGATAGAAAGAAAATTAAAGAAATTCTCTGCTTACGTAAAAAATTTTTTTATAATGAAAGGCAAACAACTAAAATTTAAAAATATTTTTATTAATAAAGCAGAATTGTGAGCTGTTATACAGAAGTTGTTACAATCTATGATAAAATGAAACATTGTATTGCATTTATTGAAAAATGGTTTATAATTGCCGAATGGCTTCTGCAAATTTCATCGCTATATAACTATGAAGATTGTTACTCGACAATTCGAAAAGTGTTTTACTGGGTTTATAAAATTGCCGTGATAATATTGAACCTGTTCGTAACTGTAACAAGTATACTAGCCCTTATTAAACTGGAATTTACCGTTTTGATGTTAGTGGTTAATGCCATCAACATCTGTAAGTATTTAGAGATTATTTTTGACTGTGTTCAGCGATTAGCAAAATTGGTCTTAGTCGTCTTGGTCTTAGTCTTGCAAAAGGTAAGATCATGACTTAAACCAAAACCGAACGAACATGACCAGAATTAAAGCCAGTACCCAACGAACAAGACCAAGACGGAGTATGCAATGTCAAGGTCCAATACGTAAGACTAAACATAAAAATTATTACTTTCGGTGGAGTTAATCTATTTGAAGCAACTTTAATATATTCTTTTCTTGGAACAATATTTGTATTTAAAAATTGCAGTTTGCTTTTTTAGATTTGAACACTAAATATAAAAAAAAAATAAAAAACTTTACCACTGTTTGAAAAAAGAGATCCACAAGAATGTCCTCGCAGTAAGTGTTCTTTGTTCCTATGTCTAGATAACATGGTTCAAATATAGACAGAAAGTATTTTTTTTCGATATTTTATGTTTCATTCAAGTACTTTGTACTGTACTGTTTTGTAAGTAAGTACCAGATTACATCAGCAAAACCAGAACTTAACACGCAGGACAAAGACCAAGACCGAGACTACATCAGAAAGACCAAGATAGAAACTATATGAACAAGACTAACCCTGGAAGTATTTAAACAAGACCAAGACCAAGACCAAATAAGCAAAACCAATACTAAGACTGGGGTAGTCTTGGACTAGGTCTTGCTTTGTTCATCATCATCTGTATCACTTTCGTAAACTTATTATACTTCATAAGCTTCGTTTCCCTTCTTATTATCTCATTTCACTTACCCCCCCCCCAACCTATTCATTATCTTCTTTCCTTCTCTGGTAATCCATCTATAAGAATAAAATTTATTTATTTTAAATTTCATTTTTAGTCATCCATATTAGCAGTTTACTAAATCTTCACTTATTCGTCGTGAAGGGGCGAGAAATAAAGAAACTTATGCTTTCAATTAAAAACTATTGGAGAACGTTTCAGTGTCCAGAAATTGATTACAAATTGTCAAACAAACTTCGATTTTACCATCGATATAGAGCAGCATTTGCCATCACTCAAATTACCGTTGTGACTATCATGAATATTATTCCTATTGCAACGGGAAATGTGTCAAAGAGGTGAATTAACATTTGAAAATATTTGTTTTAATTCTAGAACGGAAACTAAAAAACAATTGTATTGTACATCACCAGCTTGTAACAAAACAATTTAAGCAATTTGCAATGAATTTTATTGGATTGTACCTAACTTTAATTTTCATCTTTCGTAGAATTTTGCCATTCTTCGGTTGGTTTCCATTTGACGCTACCTCTTCCCCATATTTCGAAATAATTTATATCATATTTCTGCTCGAACAACTCCTTCTTATATTAATTTTAATAGCATGCGATTATTGCGTTTTTTACATTCTTGGAACATCTATTTATCAGTTAGACATTTTGCGTAAGTTTGTGTAAAACAACAATTATTTTCACTTCAAAATGACATAATTTTACTTATTATAGATTACGATTATGAGAATGTTATACAGAAAACGCTCAAACAATTTGACTTCTTTTGGACAAACAACCAGAACGACAATTTATCAAATCGGTACAATGTTTTGACTTTAACTATTACACTGTAAGAAAGTGCCATTTGGGTTTTAATAGAGATAATATGTTTGAAGTAATTAACAAATACAACTGTGTATTATCAGTTAAATGAACAAAAAATAGAACAGTATTAAAATTTCTATATGCATAATGTAATTTTACATTCAGGCAACTTTTTACAGTGTTACTATTGCATGCATACATTAATTTATTAATCGAGGACTTAAAAAGTGACATTAATTTATTATAGAATTTATAACAAAGCAAGTGAAGAAGAGTTATTATCATCTAAAGTATTTCATACAGCTCTTTCTAACAATCTCAATGGGTTAATAGCGAGACATCAAAAACTACTTGAATTTTATAGACGATTAGACAAATTTTTGATGCCAACAATTACAGTAAGACTCGCCATCACATCAGCTGCCTTTATATTAGAAACTGTAACTGGATTAGTAGTGAGTAGACAAACTGAAATACAGTTTTTCACAGTAGAAAATACCAAGGGATGAAAGTACGGCGTTCTCTGCCGAATATGAATTGCCGGAAGCTGTTGTCGTACTATTTTCAATACCATACCCCTATCCCTAAAGTTCAATTTTCCCAAATTTCAAAGACGTGAAAATGCGACATAACAACCCCCTTAAGAAATCGCATTTACCTGCTGATTATTAGGAAAGTATTTTAACATTCTCTGCGTTGAAACCAGTGGCATAACGTGAGGGGGTGTTAAGGGGGTTATGCGTCTCGGGCGACGCAAATGTGGGGGTGAGGCAGATTTTTTTTCTTCAATTTTAGATAGAATCAAGTCCGCCGCACAGTAGTGTTAGATGTGCTAATCCCTTCTGAGATAAATCTTCAATTGTTGATTTTATCCTTGGATGAAGCAATCGCTGTAGTTGTCAACATATTATGAAGTATGAGTTGTAATAACACCATGATCTGAAGAAAAATTCATAACATTCGATTTCCTGTTTAAACAAAAAGACCGGACAGAAGTACGTTTGAGGATTTCTTGCAAAATATTTATTTATTATTTTCTTGACCGTGTAAATTTCACGGCACCCTTGTTTGTTTTTGTACTAGTCGCGAAACTCTTTGATTTCAATCAAATATAAATAGTTCCTAATACCTAATGTAAAACCTTTTCACTACAGTCTCTGCCAATTTAAATAAAAAGTCTTACATAATTGTGAAAATAGAAGGCGTGGCAAATTTAGGCTTCATCCCGGATGGCAGAAATTCATGCTACGCCATTGGTTGAAACCACGCGAAAGATAGCAAAATCCTTTCCTAATAAGGAGTAGATGCGATTTCTTACCCGGTAGTGAATGGTGTTCTTTCGTCTCCAAAATTATGGAATCGTATCATACTTTCGACGCAGATAGTAAAGTAGCTTATTAATTTCAGGTGCGCGACATGAACATATCACTGCCTTTTCTGCAATATGCCACTACGTGTTTAATACAATTGCTACTTTATGGTGGTAGCGGGCATCTTCTTATTTACAAGGTACTTAGTAATTAATGTAACTCCTTTTTTTTTGCATTTGGTTTCAGTTCAGTACAATTTCAAAAATAGAATTAAGACTTTAAATGGATAAAAAATCATAATGGTTTCAAGGTACTATGACAATGACACAAATAGGTACTTTGACCAAACAAGAATGAATACTGGCAAAAAAAAATGTTATCATTTAAATTCTGATAAATTAATAATTTTCACACGTTCGCAAATTCAAAATCGGCATTATACATCATTATTAGTGTTCAAGTTTTAAATACTAACTTTCATAAATATTTTGATGATTAGACCATAAACAGACAGGTGGAGGATAAAATGATCCTGTAACTTGTATAACAACCCCGGTGTTTTTTCAATTCGAATACAGAATCCCAATAACAACTGAATACTTATAACTCCAGAACTATGATTCGGATGAGAAATCATTCATAAAATTTCAATATCCTCGTCCGACTATATTTAAAGTTACCCGTCCGGGTTTCTCCCACTATGTATGTGATAACCATTTAATAACTCCGGAAATATGATTCTAATGAAAAATTGAAAAACATACGTCGTCTCAGATTCGTGAAGGCTTTTGCGGTCAGTAAGTGAACTGATGCTGTCCTGATTTTGATCTAAAAGGGCCGTCGTGGGTTGGAGTTCCTTCCTAACGTGTGGCGAACTTCTTCAGAGGTCCTTCCATCTCCGATACTGGATGTGGGCCTTAATACCCGAATCAAGACAGCATTAGTTTAACATAGGTTGTTCTTAGAATTTCTTAGAAATTTAGTTTTATACATGTTTGGTTCTTGGCGTGTTCAATATTAAAATAATAAAATCGGAAAAAAAAACAAATATTTATTTGACACTGTTAGAGCTGAAGAAGAGTAAAGTAGACGAAGGTTGATTTAGAACTGAAGAATTTAGAATTTGAATAATTTAGGAAAGTTATGAAGGTGGAGCTAAGGGTTATAGATAAAAGAAGGGGACCAATAGTAAGAAAATATGATTTGAAAAATGCTGAAGATAGAAAATATAGAATTAAGTTGTTGAACCCAAATCACCGAAGAAACCCCTCATAAAATAGCAATTAGGACGGATAGCGAAGTACAGACGTCATGCGGTTAGTACGCGAAGTTGAAATGTTAATAGAGATTATAGGAAAGTACAGTAATAAAAGTTATTGGCACAGATGGATAGAATACAAAAGCTTTAGAAGATAATGTTGAGAAATATTTACACAGAAAAGGAATATCATACAAAAGATTTACATATTTATACAACAACATTATATATACAGGGTGCTCTAATTTATGTTGGTCGCTACACATGTTAGATGTATGAAATTGAAGAATTGTATACAATTCCTAGGAAATGTACACATTTCCGAGGCTATTTAGTAAATCTATAAAGTATCATTTCAAAGATTTTGTAATACACATATATCCTGGGAAATGTATACTTTTCCTAGGAATTGTATGAAATTTTGATATTGTACTAGGAAAAGTATAAAACTAATGCTTTCTCTGAATAAAAGGATAAAACATGTTATTAAACTGAGAATCAGAGTTATCTGTGTTTACGCAGTTCTAATGCTATCGCCTGATATATATGCATTGATGACGTTATTATTTGGTTGGGTTAGGTTTTGGAGATATATATGCATTACTAACGTTATTGTATGGTTATTAGGTATATTTATGACAGACTGAAGTTTCTTCAATGTCTCAGCCCACCGGAGGCGGGCTGGTATGTTGGAATAATGTCTTCGAAAACTATGCTTCATTATGATCTCCGCGCCCAACATATGTATACATATGAAAATGATCAGCATTATCACCTCTACAACACTAAAAATTCAAAGTCATCGTGTTTGCTGAAACAAAGATAACCTCGTCACATTATTCTAACATCCAACATATCACCTATATCAGGGCAGGGACATTCAAAAAACTCCAGTCTCCAAACGTAGGAAATGTATAGATTTCCTAGGAAATGTGTCTAATATAATTTATTTCACACCTTTCCTAGGAATTGTATACAATGACGGATTTCATACATTTCCGGCAACATATACAATATTTCCATTGTACCTACACCATATTTGAAATAAGGCGATGAAATCTGACCTTATTACCAGACGAAAAACAGACCAGCACCATCATTCTGGCTGGTCTGGTCGTGTTGCTGTTGATCATTATAATCTCTTTATAAAGAAATTATTAATGTAGTTCAATATTCATTTCGTACATTCTCTTTTTCATTTTTAAGAGTCAAAACTTATCAGAAGCCTTATACGATAGTCGATGGATATCTTGTAAAAGAGATATAAAAAGATCTGTCCTTTTGATACAACAGAGATGCTCTGTTTCGAGTAAAATAACAATTGCTTCTTGGATGGATTTAACGCTGCAAACGATGTCTTCAGTACGTATTTTGTTGCACTGTGAAGTGCTTTAAAAAAAGCAGAGATTTAAATTTCAGGTTGTTCGCTTCTCCTTTTCAATTGCTACGGTTCTTCGGCAGGTTTTGGATAAGAAATAGTAGGAAACGGATGAAATAAAGATTATTAGGTTTTTGTGTCTATATGTATCAGGGTAGTTGAGAATGGAGAAATGTAAAATAAAATGCATTGATAGTTAAGATATAGATCACTTATATATAATAACATATAATTTTCAGCATGATTTAATTGAAACTGTCACATCGCGGAAGTAAAAGGGTTGCTATTTTTAACACTAATATTGAAGCCTTTTTTTATACTTGAACGCTTTAATGTAGCACGAAAACCATAAGCATAGGTGGTCTATAGTGCCGAGAAAGAATAGTTACAGTTTCATTAAATTATGTAATCGCAAAATTCAGAAATTTTGACATTCACACCACAAAAGTTCTTTGTTACTATAAGGTAAGCAAAATTTATATGTATCTAATAAAATTGTTTATTTCAAAAGTAAAGAAGGAAGTGCACATTATGCAATTTGTTTTTGCGTTTAAGGATTTGTAAAAAACAAATGTATTATAAAGAAAACTTTATTTTATAAAAAACGAAACCACCAAAAGACATCGCTGTTAAATACATTTTGCAATTAGTGAAATTTTTAGTTAGTAAGGAGACAACTTAATGTTTCAATTTATCTCTTTGACTTCTAGTCTCCGCAAAACATTTATTTAATTAAATGTTTATAAATTTAGTAATTTACCAGTACGTTAAGTAAAGAGACATAATAATATCGATGAATAAATAATAAAAGTAATATGCATAACCACACGATCAGTTGGGAGCTGATAATTCATGTTGGTACTTCAATTAACATTCTTATTTGCGACGTTTCGTTGGCCTTAATGCCAACCCCATCAAGCTACTTTATTAAAAAAAATAAAAGTAATATATTACTAATTCCTATTGATTCTTAGTTAATCGTTAATAAACGTAGTTTTTAATGTATAATGCTTACCTGATTGTTTTTTAAATGCCAAGAATTATTGAAGTGACACCTCTTTACGCACGGTAGGGTAAGTTCGTTTCATGCGAGTTGCTATGTAACGAAATCATGCAACGCATTTCCCCCGCTGTCTATCCCTATGTATTCTTAGATCTTTAAAACTACGCAACGGTTTTTAATGCGGTTATTTTAATAGATAAAGTAATTCAAGAGGAAGGTTTATATGTATAATACATGCATAATATAGTGGTAAAGCACTGATAATTTTATAGGTTTGTAATGTGATGTCGTAAATAAACACATTTTTTGTGCTTACATTGCAAACGCTGGCTGAACCCTACGAGATTATCAAAATAATATACTACAGTATTGTACACTTTAAAAAGGCCTACAAAAAAGTCCGTGATGGTATATGTCTATCTCTTAGGGATAACCCACAATAACAATTTTTTATCCTTTACTTTTTACGAGAAATAATGGCTTATTTACGAAGCGATTTTAAGCAATACAGCATTAATCCTTATCTAATTAAGTACTTTTAAATACATTGTGCATTTAATATTGATCAATATGGCCCTTTACAGCATGTAATTTAAATTAATATTTTCGAAGATATTACAGACTTAAAATGCAGGGACATAGCGGTTGTGGCGGTACCGGCCGGTTTGAATTGTCTAATGACAAAAAAGCTGTGATTGTTATATATAAAGAGATTCTATAGTATGTATATTTACTATCAGATTGCACCCGTGCGAAGCATAGTGTACAAATAATACCATTAAATAAATTCCTTAACCCATATCCCGGTATGTTTGTCTGTTTGAAGAAGTTTCACTTCAGTAGCGTGTTGTATAATTAATAAATATAACATTCCACAATAATAGCAATATTATTTACACATAAAAATATATTTTTGAATCTCTCGTGGCAATTACAGCAGGATCATACTGTAAAACCTTTGCAAAGAATAAGTAAGACTTGCATTCTTGCATAACATATCTAATATTTCCGAAACGTTACAAATCGTCTTTAATTCCAATTTTGATTTTCTCCTCAATCCACTCTTGCTCCTGCTCCTGTTCCTGTTCACCCTCTTCTAGTCGATAATTGCTTCGCAATAAAACTGGGTAAATGTGTTTCGCTTTCGTTATTGCGGTAGTGTGTGTGGACTTGCAGATATCCGGATCTCAATTGCCGTCATAAAAAGTCAGAAACGTCGTTTGGGGACGTACAATTACCTACGAGAAATTGCCCTAATTTTTATTCTCGGATACAAAAAGCAATGTAGGTGTACATCGTGGAAATTACTTGCTTCCAAATGCTTACTACCATCAAGGAATCGATTTTTAGTGTTTTGTACTTAAACTAATAAGACGCATATTAAAGAAAAGATTACAAACTGAGCCCATCCAGCACGAGCTAGTTTAAGTACGAATTCAGTGGTCATCAAATAAACTTGGTTTTAAAACAATTCGAAGTGGTTTGTATTCTGTCGAAACTGCCAGACGCGGATCGCGATTTCGATCTTTTTGGATCTCATCAGCGCGTCGCAGGCAGCTCCGACAGAACACAGACCAACTTTTACCTGCTGTCNAAACGCACTGTTAAGACAGCAGGTAAAAGTTGGTCTGTGTTCTGTCGGAGCTGCCTGCGACGCGCTGATGAGATCCAAAAAGATCGAAATCGCGATCCGCGTCTGGCAGTTTCGACAGAATATAGACCACTTCGAATTGTTTTATTCGATTAAGCTAACATGCTTATCACGTTGAGGTTGGCTACGCCGGGATTCGTTTTCAGCAAGTAGATATCCACACAAGTGGACCTTGTTGGAGCAAACGTAATCCTAAAATGTAGCATCGTGCTGCAGATGACGTTTACTGCGCCATTAGTAGTATTTTCTGAAACTTGGTTTTGTTCCATGCAAAATATAATACTGGTTTATCAATCTAGGTATTATTTGTGATAACTGAAAGCCTAAATGGGTCAAGCCACCAAGCTTAGGGAATAATTGAAAAAAGAAATATTTGATTCAAACTTTAAATTTAAAAAGGATGCATTCCATAATCAGGTTGTTGAAGAAGTTCGCGGTTGAAAGCTGTGGAATCGAAAATACAAAAATTTGAATGTATATATATTGACCATTTTTTCTCAACTTCTTATGGTGACTATCAATACTCAGCGTGATAAATAATAACTACTGTGCAAGTTGATTTACAAAAAAAATACTGGATTTAATTATGACCTAATAATTTCGTACTGAAAGCTAAACATTAGCTGAGTATTGCTGGTTACCCTTTTTTTGGAAAACAAATAGTCTAGAAAATCTTTGGCGAAAAATCTGCCGATTAACGATTGGAAATAACACATGAAAAGCGTCGAATGGGTTGCTGCGGGGTTTTAGATAAAATGAGTAATAACTATTTGCAAGACTCGCAGGAGCATTTCTAGAAACAAACGTTTTAGGTTTTTTTAATGCCTGAGAATTTGAGAAACCTACAATCCAGTATCACTCAATTTGGATACTGCAATGGAAGTTATTTGTTGAACAAAAAGCAAGACGAATATTCAAAGATTTTAAATCCGTCTATATTCAATAAAAAAGTTCTAACATTATGACTATATAACTATATCACTTGTTTTATTGTACCGCAAAATCGAGCCCCCTTTAAAAATTACCGGTCGGACCGCCACTGGTTAATCATCAAAAAATGACTACTTTTAGTACTTCTTCGCCAGGTAGATGAACAATATATAAGTTGGAATTTATAAAAAAATCTGTAAACCTTGTGGCGTAGACTTAAGTCCAAAACTATGATTGATTATAATACTTCTATTTGATGCAGGATAAATACCAATATAATACGTTCGCGTAGTATCCCTCAGGTTCGATTTATTACTTTTCCAGTAGCGACCCTTTTCCCCAACTTTGACGGCAGAACAGGAACAGGCAGGTAGTTCATATTTGAATCCCCTCGTCGTCAAACCGAGCCACAGGAAACCTCGGAACTTTATCCAGTCAATTTCTTCTGTTAGATTGCGTAATAGGAATGGTCATGTAATAAACGGCACGTTCAGTGGGGCGGCAATTTCTCATCATTATACGGTTGTCACATGTTTTTAGGTGTATTTAATCTCTTCCTTAATTAATAGTGTAGTTAATATGTTTTTGTTCATTTCTACAAATCGTACAACAAATGAAATGAGATTAATTTGCTGTTTTCATCTTCCCCTTGCATTATGCAGTTAATTTTCAACCAATGAGAGGGACAGCAACTGGATATTTATTTGAATAGTACTTATACAGTCGAACCTGGATAAGTGAGAGCTCAAGGGACCGCGATCTGTTTCCTTCTTATAGAGGTTTCTCACTAACCCGAGTTTCTAGCTTACTGAGTTACAGGAGGAATTTGTCTCACTTATAGAGGTCTATAAAAGAGTGATACTTAGTTTGTATAAAGAGCAACAGGCAGTTATAGAGCTAGGGATGCAACGTAGAAAAATAAATAGAAGAAAGGGAGTCAGACAGGGATGCACACTGTCACTGCTACTTTTTAATCTATACATTGAAGACGCGATCAACATCGTTAAAGACAGTACAACTGTAAGGATAAAAATACAGATGCAAAAATTTGGTATGCTTAGATTTGCAGATGATATAGCAGTATTAGCATCTAGTAAGGAGGACCTAGAGATAGCTTTAAATAAAATGGAAGCGGTCCTGACAGATCAGTACTGTATGAAAATAAATAAAAGTAAAACTAAAATACTGGTATGCAAGGGAAGAAAAAGTAGGGAAAGAGCGAATATAAAGATAGGAGACGAAAAATTAGAAGAAGTGGCTGATTTTAGATACCTAGGAAGTCAGATAAGTGAGGATGGAAGGAGTAGTAGGGATATAAAGCAGAGGATAGCGCAGGGTCGTGTCGCCTTTAATAAAAAGAAGTCACTTCTATGCTCGCGAACGGTTAATTTAGAAATTCGAAAAAGGTTGTTAAAGGTGTATGTTTGGAGCACGGCGTTGTACGGGTGCGAAACATGGACAGTGGGAGCGGCGGAAAAGAAAAGGTTAGAAGCGTTCGAAATGTGGTGTTATAGGCGGATGATGAGGATATCGTGGGTAGAAAAGGTTAGAAATGAAGAGGTATTGGAAAGAATAGGAGAACAGAGGACTCTATGGAAGTCAATAAAAAATAGGCGAGATAGGTTGGTAGGACACCTTCTCAGGCATGAAGGTCTAGTCAGAGACATATTAGAGGCAGAAACAGGAGTTAGGAGGGGTAGAGGTAGACCTAGATTAGATTACTGTTCGCAAATAGTTAAGGATGTGGGCTGTTCTAGTTTTAGGGAAATGCGAAGTTTAGCTCAGGATAGGAAAGAGTGGAGGTACGTATCCAACCAGTCTTAGGACTGACGACCTTATGATAATGATGATAGAGGTCTGTAAAAATACGGTTCGACAGCACATTGAGTTTTCGTTTAGACATTATGAGGAAGCACAGGACCTTTCTTCGCAACTGCTTTTATGAACTGACTGTAATAAGATTGATAAACAAGTCGGTACGCACATTTGGCTATAATAAAATAATAAAGACTTGCTTGGTCATTCGCAGATTTTGTCGTTCGAATGAAATAAGAGTCTCTTGAAATTTAAGAACGAGTCGTAAAATAGCAATAGTGAACTGTCGCTTATAGAGGTGTAGACAAGTAGCAATCTCACTTAAAGAGGTTCAGGCATGAAAAATGACTCTCACTTATACAGGTTATATGTTTCTCACTTATAGAGGCTTTAGAAGGGCAAAATGACGGGACCTGGCAAATACTCTCATTAATAGTTTTCTCGCTTACACAGTTCTCACTTATCCAGGTTTGAATGTATATATTTTTCTGGTTTCGATTTGATTTTCACACTTGCAAGCTTTGGAACGTTAGAGTCTACAATTAATTAAAGTGATAATACTTGAAATAAATAATTTTAATTGTTCAGTTCTAAACCTCTAAAATTATCAGTGTTTCTCTGCTATATTATACATGTATTATAGATATAAACCTTCCTCTTGAATCATTCTATCCACTAAAAAAAACCGCATCAAAATCCGTTGCGTAGATTTAAAAATCTAAGCATACATAGGGACAGACAGCGGGAAGCGACATTGTTTTATACTAAATAATAGTGATACTGTGCTTCTTTCTATACATAAAATTGACTACAGATATATACCGATTTATTTATGTATAGTGATAGTGATAGTGATTCCATTTATTTAATACAAGTGTTTATTTCTTTTTTTGTTTATTTCCCGCATATATTTTGACTTTTAATTTGAGAGTCGGACGAAAAGGGATAAGGATTAAATATATAAATTTTCCGCGTAACGGATGTTGGAAATGGAGACAGTGGCTGTTGCTGAGGATAGGATTTATTACAATGAACTGGTGTATAACAGTATTAATTAAAAACTATAAGCAAGGTCCCTGAAATTTAATTTCTTAGACATTGTTGTAACTTGCTTCAATAGACAACTTTTAAACAACATTCTAGATGTGGCAGATGCAGAGTTAATGTGGAACAGATCTTTTCTTCAGTGTGAATGTTACTGATTTACTTGCATTAAAAGTGGTAATTAATTACTTTTTCTTGCCCGTTTCTATAGATTGTCTAACAAGTGAGAAGGAATTAACTTTGATGCTACTTAAACAACCGTCGCTTTTGATGTCTTCATCTTGCACATTAAGTATGCAATTAATTCTGGCCCTGAAAATGGAAATCAATTTGGAAACCAGTGAAACAACAAATTGTCTGGAGTGGCGTTCTTCCTAGATTTGCTCATCATACTGGTAGCCCCTTAGAATAGATTATGGTGCGAATACATGACAATTTTAATTGCTCTTTATTAATCTGTAATGGCATTTGTTTTAACATTTATCTATTTCTACAGTAAATTGACATTATGGCGCATATATAATATTTCTTTTAAATATCTATTGTTCACAACGTCTATGGAATTTTGCTTAACATTTATCTATTGTTTACAGCTTAAATTGATTTTATCGTGCATCTACGGTATTTCAATAATTATCTATTGTCTAAATCGTTATTGATATCTCCCATCTATGATTATTTCATATTTATCTGTCGTTAACTACATTTGACATTTGTCGTCGTTTTATAATTCAGCTGCTTTACTTGTTTTTTGATGCGTGTTGTAAGTGTGTTTAACTTCTTTTCGTTAATTAATTGTTTAATTAATATGTCTTTTTCCATTTCTGCAGGTTATCCAACGAATAAGAGAATTAATGTTCAGTTTGGTCATACTGAAAGAACCAATGTCTACATGGGCGTTGTCTTTCGTGGAAATTCATTTTGATGCTACTGAAAAAATAAGTTGTCTCCCTCCTATGGTGTTTTATCTGTTAACTTTCCATCTTGAAGGTTATTATAGTTAACTGATTAAGGTGAGCATACATGCTATATTATATATGTAGCATATTTAATATAACAGAGAAAAGGGTTTGGTAATACTTTAACAATGTATCATGTACGTTATTTAGTTACAATAAAATTAATTATATCTGATCACTTTTTCATAGATTTTATTTTACAAGAACATTAGAAGAACTCAAGATACCATTAACTTATGGAGCACGTATTAGTCCTCATTTGCTATAGAAAGTAGCTGTACGTGTGGTCCTAAGGAAAGCATGAAAGTGCCTTTTTTTCATTGGGAGAGGAGACAGTGTGCTAAAGAAAGGATTTATGACAATGAACTGGTATGTAACAGTATCAATTCAAAATAGTAAATGAGGTCCCAGAAACTTCAATTTCTTAAGACATTTATAACTTGCTTCAATAAACAACTTTTGAACAAAACAGTAGGATTAATCTGGAACTGATCTTTTCATCAGTGTTAATGTTGCTAATTTACTTGTTTTAAAAGTGGTAATTAATTACCTTTTTCTTGCGTGGTTCTGTAGATCATCCAATAACTGAAGGAATTAATTCTGGTCGTACTAAAACAAGCAATGCTCTTAATGTCTACCTTACAGCATGAAGTACTTAATTTTGGCGTTGAGAATGGGAGGCAATTGTACATTAATTCGGAAGCTACTGGAACAGCAAATTATCTTCAGTGCTTTGTAGATTTGGTTTGCCCATCGTGCTGGTAGACTTTAGAATGCTACTTTCAACAACTAATTCAGGTGAGAATGCATGACTTCATTAATATTAATTGATCTTTATTAATTTACCATGGAAATTTTCTTAACAATTATCTATTGTCAACAGTATGAATTGAGGTTATTCTTCATCTGTATCTCTATTAACGATCTTTATTTTCTACAGAATATATTTATATTTGCATTGACGTTTACTAATATATGTTTAATATATGTCTGTGGATATTTGTCATTGATCTATGGATTTCTTTTTAACCTTTATGTATTATCCGCATAATAAATTGACGTGCTTTTTGGTGCGTTTTTAGTTGTGTTAAATGTATTTCTTAATTTGTAGGGTAATTAATATTTATTTTTGTCCATTTCTGCAGGTTTTCCAACAGATGAGAGAATTAATGTTCAGTTTGATCATACTGAAACAGCCAATGTCTACATGGCCGTTATCTTTCGTGGAATATATTCTTTGCTGTTTTGTCCTCATCTTGCAACTTTATGCAGTCAATTTTCAACCGACGAGTGAGAGCAACTGGAGATTTATTCGAATTCCACTGAAACAACAAATTTTCTGCTATGGTATTTCTCCTGAAGTTGGTTTGCTTTTCACACCTGCAAACTTTGAAACATTACGTTCTACAGTTAATTAAGGTGAGAATACTTGATATAATTAATTTTAATTGCTCTTTATTAATCTGTTACCACCGTATCTGTTTCAGATCGACNCATAAAAAAAAAAAATAATAAAAACATCTACAATCAACAATTACTTCAAATAAAATGAACAAAAATAAGCATGCAAAATAAAAATTAATTTGAATAAAATGAACTTAATGAATTCTACCAGGTAGAGCATGCAAGATAAAGAACTATTTCAACTACGGGGTCATCTTTGTCTTCTCCAACGTCGATCTGAAAAAGATACGGTGGTAACAGATTAATAAAGAGCAATTAAAATTAATTATATTAAGTATTCCTACCTTAATTAACTGTAACATTCCAAAGTTTGCAGGTGTGAAAAGCAAAACAAATCCAGGAATACCACAGCAGACAATTTGTTGTTCCAGTGAAATGCAAATAAATATCCAGTTGCTCTCACTCGCCGCTTCAAAATTGACTGCATAATATTGCAAAGTGAAGAGAACGAGCATATTTAAAACAGTTCACAAAAGACCACACCTATGTAGACACTGGTTGTATCAGTATGACCAAACTGAACTTTATTCTCTCTCATTTGTTGCAACAATCTGCGGAAACGGACAAACAAACATATTAATTACTGTATTAATTAAGGATGGGGTTAAACACACCTAAAAACACGCACCATAAAGCAAGTAAAATATCTGAATTATAAAATGCTGACAAGCGTCAACTTTACATGACATAAATGTCGAAAAACCATAAATGTAGAAAGGATCAATTTATGGTGTAGACAATAGATAATTGCATAGTTAAAAGCAAAATCATAGATACATGACGTTAATTTATGGTACGAACAGTAGATAACTGTTAAAGAGAAACCACAGATGCCAGAAACGAATAATTATGAAAATCAAGTACAATCAAAAAGCAAAATAATCAACAGTAAAACAATAACTTACCTAGAGGATTACTGTACGGTGCTCGAGTTTTATTTTTAAGCGATGACAACAGAGAAATGCCTCTTAATAATAGATGCTTACGAAAGGAAAAATAATACCACCCATGGTGAAATGAGCCCCACAGCTGGCAGACAGACAGACAGAACATCACATATGCAGCTGTAAATTGGACTGTATATATTTTCAAGCCCAAGGGGAGGGAGAAATGAAGAGGTTCCACTTCTCCAAGTCTCCAATCCTTATTTTTTGTCTTCTTGTTCATTTAATATGTTTAAATGACATCCTGTTGAAACAATTTAATGTTAGTTTCATCTTAAATATTATATTTTAAAATATTAAGAACTGTAATTAAATATTACAATTCAGAAGAGCAAAAAAAACTAGTAGTACTCAAACAAATAGAATACAAGATTTGGAAAATTACAAACCATTTTGTAAACATAACTTGGTAGAATAATTAAATATTTCTTACCCTTTCCATGGAAATTAATATAAATTTTGATAGTACTAGAGCAATTAAACGTTTCAAGGCCGAATGATGTAGAAAAAGAAGACTGCTATATAGTTGATCCCGCGCTAAAATTTGGTACTTTCAAAAAGATCTTTTACGACTGGAAATGAACATAAATTTTGATAGTACTAGAGAGCAATTGAACGTTTTAAGGCCGAACGATATAGAAAAACGAAAAACAAGACTGCTATATAGTTGATCCCGCGCTAAAAATTGGTACTTTGAAAAAGATCTTTTGCGACTTATGCTCTCCTAATACAAATTTTCAAATTTAACACAATTTTCAGTTTTGCGTCATATACGAGGGTTGGTCAAAAAGTTATTGAAAAAAATACTTTTAAAAAGACCTTTTGCGACTTATGCTCTCCTAATACAAATTTTCAAATTTAACACAATTTTCAGTTTTGCGTCATATACGAGGGTTGGTCAAAAAGTTATTTAAAAAAAAACTTAAAAAGACCTTTTGCGACTTATGCTCTCCTGATACAAATTTTCAGATTTAACAAAATTTTCAGTTTTGCGTCATATACGAGGGCCGGTCGAAAAGTTATGGAAAAACTATTTCAAAATCCAATTTTTGATTTTTTCCATTATTTTCTGACCAACCCTCGTATTTGGCTCAAAACCGAAAATTTTCATAAATTCCAAAATTTGTATTAGGAGAGCATAAGTTGCATTGGGTCTTTTTCCAAGTTCAGAATTAAAGCGCGGGATTAGCTTCAGGTTTCTTTCAAATTATTCAGCTTCTGTGCATGTATGGTAATTTTCAAAAATTGACACAATTTCCTTTCATTTTACAGTATTTGTGCTACTTTAGTCTTTACTGTTGTTTAAGCCTCAGGACAAAATTAAAAACATATACTTTATTTATTTAAATACCAAAGAATGATACAATGAAAATACTTGTATTATTTAGAAATATAATTTACGTTTATTATAAAGTACAAATTTATTTCAAATAACAATACATNAGAACTGTAATTAAATATTACAATTCAGAAGAGCAAAAAAAACTAGTAGTACTCAAACAAATAGAATACAAGATTTGGAAAATCACAAACCATTTTGTAAACATAACTTGGTAGTATAATTAAATATTTCTTACCCTTTCCATAAGCCCAAGAGAAAGAAGCGTGATTGGAATCTACTTCTTTACATTTCGAATCCTTATTTTTTGTGTTCTTGTTCATTTAATATGCTTAAATGACACCCTGTTGAAACAATTTAATGTTAGTTTCATCTTAAAGATTGTTTTAAAATATTAAGAACTTAAAAATATTTTATGCACTAGATTGTTTCTTTGCATTTTTACTAGGGATTATTCTATTCCAGACTGACCTATGGTGTTTCAGCTTGGGATTTAGTTTGTGAACGAATACCAAGTTCTATTAAATCGTTGCAAGAGAATTTTTTGAAAATTACAAAACCTACTGAATTCCCAAACAAATAAGAATTGAAAATGTAAATAATATAGACGTTTTAGTTAAGCACTATGTTACCCTCACTGATATGTATTATAAATCTTCAAGTAAAACAAGACACAGAGCATTAATACTACCAGTGGTCAACCTGGAAGTTGGAAAAAAACCTCTTTTTACAGAACAATTGCACTACACAACAAATTACCAAAAGACACTAAGGGCATAAATCTTGAAAATAAAAGTATTACATTACATAAAAAGTCTAATAAAAAAAAATTGTGATCAACTGATATGTGATTAATATTTAAGTTTAATTTTGATTGGATTGATTACTTTGTGGACTTAATAATTATTACATGTAAGTCTATAAGTCTGCTAAATCTTTACTACAATTTTCTTTATTGAATCTGTAATATTATCATTTTATTGTATTATATCCTACCTCTGTGATATACACTCACTGTTCAAATTTGCAAGTTGTAGAGTACCTTGTGTAACTGAATAAATGAATAAATAAATTAAGAACTGTAACTTTTAACAATCAAATAATAAGACTATCAAACTCAATAATTCACTATTACAATTTAGAAGAGTAAAAATTATAGTAGTAATTGATGTCAAACAAATGGAATACAAGATCTTAAAATCTTACCCAAAGTATTCGAACACTCTCTATGGTGTAGAAGACATGGCACATTTAGAGAAGCTCTTTATAATATTAATATTATTATATTGCGACAAGAACCACCTTTATGCCTCTTGGTATTGTGGAGCCTGTTCAAAAACAGCAAATATTTTAATTAGTTTTTGGGAACTACGTACTTATTCTATTTAAATAAACTTTCCATATACCTACATATTTAAAGTAATAAATCAATACATATCTTATTTTTAACTTTACAAAATCGTTTAAACAGTTATCAAAATGTTTTAAACAACGTATTTATTTTCAACTATTTTCAGCCATCCTACCCCTCGACGTGACTTAGAAAAGAAATAATAATGAACTGCTGAAGAAAAATTCGTCTGGCAAAGTCAGGAATAATTGTATTCCTGTGTATCTGTGAAAAAAAAGAACATGAAAGCCAAAAATAATAATTTTACAGAGAAAAAAAATGATCAATGAATGAAAATAGTAATTTCGTTAGCAAAAAACTTTATAAAATCCATTTTTGTATTGAAATGATAATTACTAAACACATACACAAGATTCCACGCTTTTCCCAGATTATTAAATATGGCGGAACACAGTAAATTTTCTTACAAAGTAACTTTATCCATGGGAATCGTAAAAATAACCCTATAACCAAAAATAAAAAAACATAACAGATAAAACTAATTCCAGACTCTATTATGATATAAATTATGTAGGTACTAGTATTTTTTTCAATTTTTTTAACAAAAATGCACAGAAGTTATCACTACCAAAAGACACAAACTGTATTTGCCGTATCAAAAATTAGACCAGTGAGCGAGAAGGAAATACGTCATCGACAAGATTAACATAGAAACGTACTTGTTAATCTCGTCGAAGATAGTATATTTATATATCCCAAAAAATACTTTAAATTAATTTAAATGCAACCATTGTAACTAATTATCACGAAAATTAGATAAAACCAGATATTATTGTATCTTAATAAACACATAAATGTAACTGGCAATGAGATTATCTAAACCCCATAGATAATAGATACACAAAGGGTAAACCCTTTGTGTATCTATTATCTATGATCTAAACGTTACCGAAGTTGACGAAAGGGAGCGCTGTACTGATATCTGACGCGAAATATATAAATTGTGAAGATAAAACAATTCTTAAATTGTAAAATAGTAATAATTCAAAAAATGTTTCACCTGTAATAAGAGATTATATTCTTTCGCAAATCTTAGAAATTATATAAAAATAATAAATTAATTCTATAATGTGTAATCCTTCAAATATTTGATCCCGGTTGCTATTGTGTATTAACAGTTTGTTTTGAGATTACTTCATTGGTTTACTTATCTATGTGTTAATTGACATAGATAATGTTACTTGTTGTCAATTGATGTTTTTAAAATAGGTTGATAAGGTTAGATTTCAAAATTAGTTGCGTAATTTTTTAAAAAATACTGTAAATATTAATTTATTTTACAATGTCGAAGCATGTACTTCCGTACAAATACTTCGATACGCCCGTGGGTGAAGATACATTGAAAAAATTGTGGTGTATAACAAAAATTGCAGCGCCCGTTGCCTTAGGAGTTGCCACTGTTGATGTAATGTTGTATTCTAGTCCCTCAGGATATCTTCCTACATTAGGAAGGTACGCGTATATTTGTGGCCCCATATTAGGCATGACAACTGCTTTCGTTTTAACAAAAAATTATAGTGCAAGCATTCGTCAAAAAGACGATAAAATTAATTGGTTTCTGGGAGCCCTTCCTGCTGGTGGAATTCTAGGGGCTTGGTCCAAAAGTACAACTGTAGGATTTGGAGCATGTGCTTTTTTGGGCCTTGTAGCTGTCTTAGCAAAGCAAGCAATTGATGAAGACTGGGTGATTTATCCAAAAAATGTTATGAGAAATAAGGGTGGTTTATGGGCAAATAATGTGGATTGGACCCTCACGAAGGATGTGTCAAGTACTAAATAAGCTAAAAAAAGATGTAGTAAGTTGCAATGTGTAAATATACAATGTAATAAATAATAAGAACCTGCTTCTTGTTTTTTGGTTCCTTTTTAGCTTAGTTTCTCTGTAACATTTCCTGCTTCTATGCCAGCCTTAAATACATAGAAAGAGGGTTTGTTTAGATAATCTAGTTAAAAATAGCAAGAATTGTTTTTTATTTGAGAGTAGGTATGTAAGAATGTTACATAAAATAATGCAATTAAACATGAACCTACATAGCAACAAAGTCAAAATACTAGACAGTAATCAATCCTTTAAAAAGTTTACTCAGTCTATTATTAACTTGTAGCAATAAATTTTTAAAAATAATTTTTCATAATTTTGAAAATTTCTAGATTAAAAAAATGATAAATATCACAATAATTGTTAAGTACAAAACAAAGCATTACAATTACTCTCTATATCTACAAATAACTATGTATTGCAATCTTCAAAATTATTAAATTCGTTAATTAGTAAATTAAACCTGTGGCTGATCTCTGTTCTTTACATCTTTCTCTGCTTCGTTTGATTCGTCGTTTTCATCAACTGTAATACCAAAAGCGCTCATTTCCCGTTTTATTCGTTCTAATTCCTTGTTAAAATCGAAATCATTTAAATCGTCATCGTTATCTTCATCCAGATCTGTGACGTTTTCCTTTGTGCCACTTTTATCTTCCTCTGTAATATCACTGGTTAAATCTTTAGCCGACTCCACACTCGTTATTTTTCCTTTCAATTTTAAATCGGTTTCTCCTTCTTGTTTACTTATTAAAGATGCTACACCTGTAGAAGTTTCGATTTTTCCTTCCCTTTCCCGTTCTCTTTCTTCCAATTCACGTTCGAGTCTTTCATATTCTTCATCTGAAAGTTCAACAACTTCTTCAACAACCAACATATCATCACTTTTTCCTTCTTCTGCTGATAGTGGAGATCCTTCAAGCGTAAAATAATTTTCTTCTATTATTTCTCCTTGTGGAGATAATTTCAATGAACGAGACCCTTTTTCTGAAGCTTGGTCAGACTCATTATTCAAACTGCTGACATCCTGAATAGTTTCGGATATTTCACTCTCAAGCAATAAAGTTGTAGGTTTTTTTGAGGAAGTTTCTATAATGGGTTTATCACTTCCAACACGTGCCACGTATTTTGAAAATATTTCATCATCGTCAAGAATAGGTTGAACTTCTACAACTGCTCGTGAAGGAGAATTATTCAATTCAAACGTAGCTTTAGCTGCATTTGTAATTTCGTCAATTATTTCTGTAGCCATTTGGGTTAATTCTGCTTCAGTTTCTTTAGTTCTATTTTCGAGTGTTTTGTCTTCCTTATTTTTAATTTGCTGTTCATTATTAGCTGCAGTAACTTCAAAAGTGGTGGAACTTTCATTTTGTGGAAGTTTTACAGCAATAGTGTTGTCTTCTACACCAAAAGCTTCATGCTCTTGTAGGGCTTTTACTTCGAAAGGTTTATCTAGATTAAGATAGCCCTGCACTTGTACTTCTACAGGTTTGTCTACATTAAAATCGCCTTGTAAATCAAAATTAATAAGCTTTTGTTTCTCGTTTGGTCCGTTCAAATTTAAATCGATTGCATCTCTTACTTCTTCTACTTTTAAAATTTCTTGTAAATCGAAATTAAGAGTTTTGTTGTTTTCTTCACCTATTTTTTCTTGTATGGAAAGTTCTTGAGAATGCTTCTCTTCTCTATTTAGCACTTCTGGTGTAGATTTTTCTTCAATACTAGCGGGTAGTTTTTCAGTGTCATTGTGAGATTCTTCATGCAGAATAGGTGTTACAACTTTTACCTCTTCTCCGACTTTACTTTCATTTGCATTTTGTATGTCATCATTTAAAACATCTACGTGTTTTTCTTTATCAGTAAATATTGGCACTTTGGATTCAAATTTTTCTATGTTTTGTATATTCTGGTTAGCATTATTTATTTTTTCTTGAATTGTTTGTGTAACTGAATCATCTGGAGCAATTTCTCTTACATCTTCTTCCTTATGATAATCTATTTCATCATCAATTTCAATGTCTACTTCGTCGTTGCTGATTTCTCCCTAAAAAGTGCGATTTAACAAAAATATTTTAATTTTAATCTGTTGATTACCTCCGAAATATTTTCTGCTTGTAGCAAATCTCTCGAAAATTCTTCTTTCAAGTTCAATGGAATTTTTTGCGACTCACGTTCATCTTCGTGTTGTGTAGAACTCAGATCAGATTTACTAACGAATTCGTACTCTTCTCTGTCTTTGCCGCTACTGCTACTGCTTCCGTTTTCTGTAAAAATACACAGTAGAAAATGAAGTACCGAGGTATAATATTACAAAAACAAAGCGCTGAACTGAATTCACTGCTTAATAACAAAAGCTGCAGAAGTATTTAATAGCCACTCGAAGTTATAACAACAACATAGATGTGTAGAAATAACACAAGAAATAATTTCAACAACCTTTTTATTTAAAAGAAACATTCCATTATTACATAGAGAAATTATAGTGATTTTATTTACCAGTTTCCGGCAACGAATCCAAACTAATTACAGAAAGGGTCATTTTGCTGGCTAATACAACAGCAGGATCATCAGAAGCATCTGTATTTGGTTGAGTTTCCGTTTTCGAATCAGAAACTAACAACTGAGACTGTGCTGGTAGTGCTCCCTCTAAATAAATTTCCTAATAAAAAAATAAGAAACGTAACAAAAACAAATTGTATCATTTCATCTTAAATTATGCACCTGGGGAGGATCAGGCTCTTCTACTGGTGGAGGTGGGGTTGGTGAGATGATTGGAGAATTTGGTCTGCTCCATTTTTGACCACCTTCGCAACTTGCCGTAGTTTCCATGCCCAATACCTTGACTGAAGTTTGATCTTGTTTAGTCCCAGGTACTGATCCATTTGAGGTGTGATTCTTTAATGTAATTAAGAACTATATTATTACGAAGTAATGTAATAAAACATGAGGCACAATTAACACAACTGAAGCCTTAACTAAAGCATGTTCGGGTTTGCAATATGCCAAATTAAAATATAAAATAAGAAACAAACTGTTAAAAAAATATCGGCTAACTGCTGTATAAATAACAACTAATAACGACTGAATGATAAATTAAAATAAATGTCTTGCACAAAATAATAAATAACTAAGAAAGCGCTCATGCATGAGCATTACAGTATGTGCAATGTAATATAGCAATAACAAAAGAATGAGACAGGCGAGCTGGTGTGTAACGGTCTGCGACAGGCCATGAATGGTAACACCTGAAGGTTACCTGTTGATTGTCAACCTCACATCTTTTCCACCTAGACTCCAACTCTTGGTCAACTTCATCCAACAAGGCGGACATGGCATTTACAACTAAGCATAAACAACAAAACTACTGTCAAACCAAGAGAGAGTACATGAAAAGTTAATATGACAATTTTTATTGTCTTTTTTTATATGTAGTTAAGATAAATTGCAACATTTATTTAAGACAACTTGCAAAAATTTTTCGTAAACAGGTGCACATAAGGCTTAACGGAATTATAAATTTCACATTTAAGAAACAAAAATATTTCTAAAAGCATCTTACAAAATTAAACTACGAGTATACTAAATTTTAAAACACTTAATAGATCAATTTTTTGATCAAACAGGATTTTACTTGCCAAAAATTGTACTGATTATCTGTATATAAAAAATTATTAAGAGTTGCTCTCTACAAAATATTGATCAGTAAATATTTTTCTGAGTAAAAATTCATTGTTTATCCAAAAGCTTAATTTACTTTTACTTTGAAAATAAACAAGTTGTAGAATTTCTTATACATAAATATCTACTGTGATCCTTTAATTTTTAGGAAGTCATGACCTCTCGGCCCCCATCCCCCTTCAAATACGCGTTTTAATTTTAATTTTAAGTTTTGCTGGTGTCATTTCATTTAATGAATGTGTATATGATTGCACCTAAATACATAATAAAAAAGGCAAAACAAGACAAAGTACAAGAAAAGCTGCTCGAAGCAAAGGCGAAGGGTAATTAAAAAAAAGAGGTAAAAAGGGTCTCTAGTGCAGGCAGGAGGGTACATGCCCACCTGAGACCCCAGCGGAACCTGCGCCATCTGTGCCATAATGCGTTCCATGGCCAATTCGGTTTCGCGCAGCCTGCGCCTAAGTAGGTCCAACTCGTCATCATCTGCGGAAAGACACATGTACCCTTCTGTTAAAAACGCATAGGCCGACACGCACCAATTCACGCCCATTTTTTATTATTATTAGTCACCATGATGCCAACACATATTTACATTAAAATACTACAATTAATTAATAAATAATACCATGGAATTACAGGAAGTTTAGGAATTCGAACAACCATAATGCAGTTTTTAATATCCAAAACATGAAGTCTTCTAAAGTATTCCTCCAATATAAAGAAAAATATAGTATATTACACACCAAGGATATACTATTTTTCGTCACATGGTTGTTGGTTGTGGTGAGAAATTACACATAGTACAAAATTTTCTAGGCCCGTTGTGTGCTTTCGTCCCGCAATAAATATTCTTCGGAAGATATGTGACGAGTAATAGTATATACACCTCATGAGTTACATCATACCACGTGTGTATATTTCGGGTGACAAACGAGGCACGGTATGATACAGCCCACTTTCGTCCCGTGGTGCATAATATAGTATTTATTAATGCTTACATCACCCTCCTGCACTACTCTAGGTATTCAATAGCACTAATAGCAATTTAAAATATAATTAGAGAAAAAAAGAGGAAAAAATAATTTAATTCTTTTTTTATACATAAAATATCTGCCCAGTTATAAGCTGATCCATTATTAAAGGCTTATTGTCAATACACAGGTAGGGTTTAACTAACAAAGATTTTTATTTAATATTATCACAGTGTAAAGAAATAACCGATTTTTATTAAAAAATTATCATCAAACTTACTTGCATCTCTATCTTCACAGCCTGGTTAATGGCAAAAAATGAATTAGATTAGTCAATTAAAAAATACTTTTTTCTTATAGAATGCAGAATGATGTGAAAAACCCCTCTGAAATTATAAATAAAAAAAAATTACTTGCCTAATTTTCCTGATAAATCACGACCATATTTCGACTTTAGTTGATTCTTATTCGATTCAAAGACTTGTTTCCTGAATAATCGATCTGGTTCTACTGACGGATATAATCCAAATCCAGGACCTTCTGGCTTCTTTTTGAAAATCACCTGGTGATAGATTATTAATAAATTTATAATATTGTAACCACTATATTAAATTCCTTACTTTTATGAGGGTATATGCAAAAAAGACGACAATACCAACAGTGTAAATAGGCATAATTATACTAATAGAGGTGCCCTTTTGTGGCGGTGGTACCACATGGCCTGCACCTCCCATGGGAGGTCGCATGCCAGGTATAGGACGAGGCTGCAAATATAAAAAAAAGCTAAAAATTACTATTACATTAATTTACTTAACATGATTTTTAAAAAAGATATGTAATTTATTATTAAAAACATTACTAAATAAAAACGTTTCCATGCCCAATACCTTGACTGAAGTTTGATCTTGTTTAGTCCCAGGTACTGATCCATTTGAGGTGTGATTCTTTAATGTAATTAAGAACTATATTATTACGAAGTAATGTAATAAAACATGAGGCACAATTAACACAACTGAAGCCTTAACTAAAGCATGTTCGGGTTTGCAATATGCCAAATTAAAATANTTTGATTTTAGAAATAAATTATTTATTATTATGGTAGTGGAATGTCTTTATTTTGAGCGTGTCTAAAAGGTTATAAATAAGTGTATAAGTGCAATAGAAACTCTGTGCCAAAATAATTGGAGTAAAACCGAATCCAAGACTATTTTTAGAACGTAAAATACTGCAATATTCCACTAAATGAAAACAAACTTTTTCTTACATTTATGCTTTTTATGATCAAGTTTTACATTATTGGATATCATATGTATACCTAGGTACCTTCCAATTAAATATCTCAATTTTATCTTTTGATCTGTATGGATCATTGTGAAAAATAGCCTTTAATAAATAGTTAATAATCTCACCCTTCCTTCAACAATTTTTGGAGGTGGAGATTTTCTAGGTGCTGATGAAGCAGGTATAGCACGTCCTCTTTCTCTAAGGGCAGGATGCAACATTTCAGGTCTTAAATGTGTAGGCCTTTCTTGTCTAACATCTATTATTTAATAAAAAAATGTTAATTTTCTATTCTTTACTACATACATTTGAATGACTGTCAAAAAGTAGTAAGGCAAATTGGACACACAAGCCTTGTTAATTGAGGAAAAACAAACCGTTTTAATGTCATTACACATGGAATACAAAAAACTATAAGGCAATTCATTATGATTATCACACTATGGCCTTTATTTTTGAGATATATTTTTTTAATGATATACAAAATGTTAGTATGAAAATAACAGTTTTGTTGTAATTTGTTGCTTACTATAAATTGTAAAATTTGTAGTGGTTTTATGAGGTACTCCCAATACCCAGGGTGAGACATTAAATTGATATTTCAAACAAAGTGATCCATTTAAAGATCTTATTTTTTCAAGAACACCTTTAACTTTTCCGTCCAAGTAAACATTTTCATTCAATATGGGAGATATGTCTATGCCACATTTACTTAGAATAGCATTTCTACAATTCGAAGCGATCTCTTGGTTTGTCAACTTTTTTTTTCCATCTGATTGCTGTGCTATTATACTGCACAACTCCGAAATTATTTTGATTGTGTTTACATCTGTATCGGAAAATACATCACAACAGCCTAAATGCATAGAATGTGTTAAATTATCGTAGCAATAAGAAGTCTTTAACAGTACAAATAAAAAAATAAAATTACCTCGATCATAATCATGGGTCTTATGAGTCGGTCCAACTAGCATGGGATAAAAAACTTTTGGCCATAGCACTGCAAAACACCCTACTACTATAACTATCACAAAAAGCGTTTTTCGGGGGCCTAGATCGGTTTCAGACATTTTCGTTTCGTTTACGTACTTAAACACAAAAATTATTGTTCACTAACACTTGAATTCGGAATCGGTTTTCCACGAATCCGACATTACACTGGTTCTGTCAATAATGGATGTTTAATACGTAAGTCACGTAACTGGTAAATATAGCTCAATTAAAACACAAGTAGCAAAATTAGGAGCTTTGCCAAAAATAAAAATAATTCAATGAAAAATAATACCAATGACGATTTTCCTTGACATACTACACTTGACAGCCTTGACCAGTTGACATATGACCGAGATGTGTCACTGGAAAAAATTAAAAAAATTATTAGAAAATAGAAATTAAAAAGTTGTTTCCTTAAAAAAAATTTGACTTTTATAACCGTTTATTAACAACTAAATCAATAAATTTTGAAAAAGACAATTTTAATTAATCATAACAATCTAAGGTTAAGAATTTTAACATGTTTAAAGCTCAAGCAGGAAAGCTCCAGGGCCTGCCACTGAACTTACCGTCCAGTATTCAATGGGCATGTGGATCCCACAGATTCAGAAACACAAATACAGATTCCTTAGTTTACAAATCAATATTTTTAAATAATTTTTAAGTAGATGCTTACTCATTTCATTGTTATATTTTACAAGCATAAACATCATATCTGACACTAAGACAAGCTACAGTAAATTTTAAATACACGTAATTTAAAGAGACAACGGCAAATAAAATATAAAATCATAAAAGTGTGTAACTTAAATTCTAATTACTAAAAAATTAAATAGCTAGACCATAAACAGATACAATGCAGAACATGGTTTTATTTTCCCAGCGAACTGTACAGCTACCATCTGTATTGTTATCCCAATAGCAAGAACTGGCAGTATGAAGTCCAGCTCCATTTTTCTGCATTATCGTGCAAGTAACAATGTATTTATATGGTTTTAATAATTTAGTTAGTTCAGAGGTGCATGACTCAACAACTGAGGTTGTCCAGTTGTTTACTTTGGTTTGATTGTAAGCATTTCCTCCTATCACAGTTTCAATTGCATCTTTAATTATTTTACTAACATCGTCAACCACGAATTGTCCCTCTTCTTGAAATTCTGGCTCACCAATCTTATCCATTGTCAAGACAACACTTTTTCTAAATTACTTCTTTTACGTTTTTGATGTACGTCAATATCTTCTGGAACTGTACTCACAATAATTTGATACGTTACAGTTAAAAAGCCATAAACTTCAAACCGAGGAAAGTCTTTCAAAGGAATGTGTTACAACAAATATTATAAATATTAATCAATTAATACAATGCAATTGACAATTAACTGACAACCTATCAACGCTGACAACCAGTAAACATAGATAATAGATATACATAGAGCATTGACATAGAGTCATGAAGACAATACAACTTATCTACAACTAAAATTGTTCTTTTTTGGGTACCATAGATCATGCATAGCTAAAACCATAGATGCTAAAATGTCTGCGTGCTATTTGAACTACTAATGCAATGCCGATTATTGTTTGTTGAATTATTAGATTGAATTTAGTTAAGTTACGCTGATAATTGTTTAATAATGAAAATGAATATACACACTTAGGTTACTATCAGAAGTAATTTCTTATCAGACACACCATATCTATTACTATAGATAACCAACATTGATGAAGCTTATCTATGGATGAGACTTTCTTTTTTTATTTTTTGTGTTCATGTGTTCAGAACAGATTGTTAGTTTATTCGTGTAGTCTGTTATATTGTACATCGTTTGAATTTCATTCTTCAAATAATCACGTTCATATTGAGTAAAGCTATACTTTCTCTTACCAACTTTTACAAAATCCTACCTGCTCTATAATTTAATTGGATCATCTCCCTGCTTAAAGCAGTTATTTTAATAAAAGGTAAAGAATTAGTTTAAATTTTCTTTTGAAGATGTTAATTGCTGTTTTTTCGATTTAGATTATCAATTAGAAATACCACAATGAAGGACGTTATTGATGTTATGGAATTACAAAGAGAAAAAAACCGTAAAATTCAGCCTTTGGATTATAGGCAAATGGATTTTGCGAGTGGATTTACACCTGCACGGTTTATATTTGAATGTGGAATGAAACTGCAAGCCCAGCCTCTTACAATTGCTACTGCGGCTATTCTCATGCACAGATTCTTCAAAGAAGTAGATTCATCGAACTATGATCACTACGTAAGTTTATTTTACAGTACAATAATTGAAACATATTTCCTAAAATTTGAAGGTTAAATATCTATAACTGCAGAAACAAGTTCAATATACTAATGTGCATTTAAATCACACCAAGGAAAAGTTATAACTTTTAATCAACTGTCAATTAGTTATTTTTTTATTTTTCAAAAGTTTACTTACATGTTTTACTGAATGATGTTGTCTACAGTTGATTGCAGCCTCAACCCTTTATTTGGCTGGTAAAGTTAAGGATGATCCGCTCAAGATTCGTGATATAATTAATGTAGCTCATAATACATTACATAGAGGAAGTGGACCACTAGAAATAGGTGATGAATATTGGAATATGCGGGATGCTATAGTTCAAGCTGAACTTTTGATAATGCGTGTTCTCAAGTTTGAAGTTTCTATAGTACATCCACATAAATATATGCTTCATTATTTACGAACACTAGAAGGATGGATTGGTAAAGAGAAATGGAGCAATAGCCCAATTGCTAGGACAGCAGCTGCTTTCCTTCAGGATTATCATCATGACCCGAGCATACTGGACTACCCGCCCCAACATATAGCCATTGCTTGTATTTCATTGGCACTTCAATGTTATGGAATTACTTTACCTTTAATTGAAGAAAATGAGGATGAAATGTGGTATTCAGTATTTGTGAAGGATTTGCAAAAGGATAAGCACTGGGAAATTATGGAGAAAATCATGGAAGTGTACAACAAAGAACCAGAAACTGTTTAATTGTTTTTCAGTAGCTTTTTACATCACAAGTAAAATAACGAACTTTATGCATTTTAGTTAAGTAAAAATGAAAGTATTTTTTGCATCAATACAATTATTAGGAGACAATGGATTCACTGGTATTACTTTAAATATTGTTTTTTTTACAAAATAAACGGTGATGCTTCAAATGAACGTAGTTTTTTTTCTTCAAAAGCAGCGGAAAATTACTTTTAATTACAATAAAATTATGAAAAAAAAGACAAATAATATTGTTGAAATAATTTTATAAGCTCGCTTAGTCATTGTGGAAGCAGTACATATTTTTACATCTCTAAGAAACAAATTTCGGTTGGTTTTCATTAAAATACTGGCACACAACAGTTACAACAGGTAATATTAGTAATGATAATAGTTTGTTAACAACAATGGATTCATTATCTGCCTTTAATTTATTATACAGTACAGCATAAAAATGAGATTCATCTAGGGCTGATGAAAAGCTGGTAACAACGGACTGTTAAATAGAAATAATATTTAATTCTTTAATGATTATAATAAATGCAATAGAAAGAAAGATGATAACAAGAAGCTCTATCACCGGGTGACTACTACATAAAGTAAGTACACTAATGATTAAAATTTGAACATACATAAACGAATATATTAACAACAAACAAAGAACAATAACATGTAATGGCAAAAGACTACATTTTTTCGCTATTTTTTACTCTAAACATATTCTACTTAATATCTACCTATGGCCACAACACATTAATAAAGAACATTGGAAGGTAAGCATGATGGACTTGCCCTAAGTTTAACTGAATTTCATATTTGTACTTTATGTTAAGTACTCTTGTAACTAATAATACACTCAATATTAGCTCTTAATGTAAAATTTTGTAAACACAAAAAAAAAATATAAATTCTTAAACCCTTTTTATGTTGTAAAACACTAAACAAGGGTTTTATAAGTAGGGGTTAAGATACTGAGATACAGGAGGTGGAGGTGAAGATAGGAAACAATAATTGCATAGTAGTGTATCTTCACACTTATCAAAATAATAGTCCATGATCGAATGAGTATGAGAAAAAAACAATATTTAATCTAAAACAATTGCCTACAAGATTTGAAAAAATACAGAACGTAGGTTAATAGATAATATCGTATCGAATTACAGGAGTACATCACACCTACTGATATTTGCTGATAAGTGAAGCATTTTGTAAATGTTGCATGTTTACACTGTTTTTAATAAATATTGGATGTAATTAATTAGCACATGAATAACCTATAGCAAAAATATGAAATTCAATTAGGCTTAGTACATATACACCATTCTTAATCGACAACGGCATTTTCCTTTTGTATTACTTATCTACGATTATGGTATTTTAGAAAAATGAAGCTTCAACTTTTTCAAACAATGAAATTAAAAAGAGAAAAACTACGAAATACAAGAAGCTTGCACTTTTCTATAATAAACAACACAATTCTTTTTGATTTAAAACTGTAAAAGTCACGTATTAAATTTTGCAATGGTAAAAATAACATCGTTTTTAATAGTACTATACTAATAGTCGCAGTATAGTAATTAAATGAATGATATGAATATCACCTGATAGGTAGAGTTTTGTTACAATGTGATGTTTTTTTATTTCCACTAAGGTGGACGTAAAAGTTGTAGTAAATTAAATTCAAAACGATAAATTCCTTTATGCATTTCACTATTAGGTAAAAGTTTCAATACATTTACAACTGAGCAAATAAATTAAAATAAATATATGTTCATACTTCTTTTTAAAGCTTAATTCAGTTTTCAGCCTTAAAATTTATACAAAACGAAAGAGGTTTGTCCTTTCTAAAAATACAATCCTTTTAATAATTTTTATTTTATCAGTACCTATATTTTATTACGACGTAAATAAAGAAATAAGATCTCTGCACTTTTCCAATGTACTTTTTAAAATTAAAACACTAGGAAAAAATTAGCACTTTTGGGTCTTACATAAAAATGTGGTGTACACCAAATATTTAAATAAAACCATTAAAGCTGATACTACCTTTCATAACTTTTCAATATTTCGTTTCAAAATATGTTCACAAAAAACTAATGCAGATCTCCGGCTTTTGTTAGTTCTCATGAGATCAAAATATATTGAGCAAATTAAAATTACCTATATCAGTGGCGGTCAATATTTTTTTTCCTGAACTTTAATTATTTACAAATTAAAATAAAATTTCAAAGAATCGCTTAATTTTTTTTTTAAAGTTATCACCCTTTGTAGAAATAAGCATTTCTTTTTCTTTGTTCTAAAATTGTTTAATTGCAATTCACTTAATGAAGATTACTGGCCTATCTAATAGGAATTAATTTAATTAACTTCAAATGTATGTATATAAGACCAGGCTAATGAGTAATGAATAGTACTTAATGTGCTTCCATAACTGCAAAATTAAACTATTATTAATTTTCCAACATCAAACACACCTAGTACTTGTACATAAAACCATGTACACTCACAAAATACACCTTTTTATTAGTTACGTAAGAACTTTGTTTAACAACAATGTAAATTCGAATATTGCCCTTCTTCTGTAACCATTCCGCAATCGATTTTTTTTAGTTTAGCTAAGGTTTTCATATCAATTTTTGATTATTTTTAACGTAGTACTTAACTAAAGGAAATAAAAAAAGGCGTTATTCATATAGAAAAATTATTTGAAAAGGATAAGCACCGAATAATTCAATTTGAGATAGAATGCCGCATTTTTATCTTTGTTAACCTGACATTTAATTTAAAATTTTCCCCCTAGTTAATGTTTCATTTCTTCAAAGTGACCGTAATTGTATTTACGTTTACATGACTAGTATGCAATAACATTAATAATAGCATGATTTTGGTTCCCTTCCTTCAATTTCTTATCTTATTTTTTTTAAATAACAAAAAATGGAAAACAACTGTTGTTTTAAAGAAAACTAAAATGTAACGGGACAAGTATCGGTTGTAGTAATTCGTTATCTCCCAATTTAAATGATACACCACAGCAACTAGTAGTAATAATAGTAAATATTAATAGTAACAGTATACTAGCACAAAAAGTGGTCGAATAGTGGTCATAGAAGTGATTGTAAGGGTTTTTGTTTAGATTTATCTTTTTATGTGACGCAGAAAGTATTGCAAGAAGGCAGTGGATGACGATCGTTAGCATTCATCGTATGTCCTTAATGTTGTGCTTCGATCCGAAGATCTTGAGCATTTGTTCCTCATAATCAGTTATATTACGTTTCATTATTTCCATACATGGACCCAGCAAACGTTCAAACGCTTCCACGTCTAAAACTATACACAAAAGAACGAATTCTTTTTATTTCTGTATCTCAACCATTATTAGAAATCAAATGGCTACATTTCTGAGGAATATTAAATGTTAATTAATAATTACGTGCAATTATAATAAATGCTTCTTTTAAAATCAGGTACGTTTTGTTTTTAGATACTATATCGCTCATATTTTGAACATAAACAAGTGCTGACAAAAAAACTAAAGTCCTGGGAATTTCTAATTCCCAAGTTAATTTGATTTTCGAAAGAGTAATTATACTTACAGGCTAGTTTGACGTGATCATCAGCGTAAGCAGAAGCCGCTCGAGGTCTATGAGTAACCAGTGCAAGCTCTCCAAAATAGCCCCCTTTAACAACTTTGTTCACTTCGATTTCCTTTCCTTGATCATTCAGAACCCTGATATCGACAGTCCCCTCTTCAACAAAGTACATCCCATCGGCTGCGTCTCCTTGTTTAATAATTTGCTCTCCAGGAGCAAAAGTTTTCGGCACGAGAGCATCTGCGAGGTTCATTCTTTCATACGGTTGTAATGTCTTCAACATGGGCACACTCTCTATCAGAGTTTCGTACATTTTCCTCTTTCTGAAGGCAGACTTGAGAAGAATGCGACGGAACGTTTGTCGATCCATAGCCCACAAACGTCCGTCTGACGCGGCCTTAATTGTAGCCGCACGCGGCATATTGTAAAGGAGTGCCAATTCGCCGAAGCTTCCACTGTTATCGTACGTGTAAATGTGTTTTGGTTCCCCTTCGGGAGTATCAGCAACAAGGGCATGAAAAACACCACTAACAATAAAAAAAATCACAGTGAGTTTCATATTTGTATATGTCGGTGTTTTAAAATGTTTTAGTGTCTGGTCAGATACTTCACAATTCTCTCCCTAGTATTTTCCAAAGAAGAAATTTAAGCAATTTGTTTCTTTATACAATCATTAATCATCTTTAACTAATACAAAATTGCGTAATTATCGAACAATTAATAAAAAATGAATCACTGATTTTCTAATGTTTTCAAATACATAAGCTCAAACTATTTAGCGCTCTTTGCCAATATTGGGATATCATCCATATTTTTCGAATTATTTCCAAAACAATTAATGTTAAAGTATATGCATCCAACTTCTTTAATTTTTTTTGACATGTCCAATACATCTCTACACAATAATCTTATATTTTTTAAATTATTAAAATTTTGGAATATAATCTATGATTTTCGATGGTATCTTTACAATTTTCGGCTGTATCTAATTAAAAATAAGTAAAACATTCTAATAATTCCCACCTTTCTATAACGTAAAAGTTGTCTCCATCGTCTCCTTGTTTGATCACCAGGTCTCCTGCTTTCACCGTTTTTTCGAACATTGCATCTAGGACTTCTTGCATTTGGTCTTTTTCTAAAGAGCGAAATAGAAGGATGTTTTTGACCGAATCCGCTAACCGTTGACGTTGTTCATCTGATTTTGGATAAACTACTTTTGTACCATCATCTTCATCCTCTTCTGGATCATATGTTTCAGCAAAAACTGATTTTCGACGGGACGCAAAACGATTTACAGGTGGTTCTAGAAACGAATAAATGAATCTCATATTACATAATTTTAAACAAACTTTTTTAATTATAGATATTTTTTAAATGTTTACAATGATTCAAGGAAGTGAAAATTTATATTCGCTGTAGTTTGTACATTTTCTC